CTGGAAGAGAAACCCTACCTGCTAACCTTCAGACATGTAAAACCCCTGTGGGCCATGGCAAAAACCTTTGCTAAATGTAGCAAGATAAAAGTAATAACATTTTACTCTATTAAAATAATTTTATGTCCAGACCAGGAAACTTCTACATGAATAAAATATACAATTACGAGTGCTCATGGTATGGAGACAGCTTTAAATCAGTAGTTTTCCATCTCTAAAGTTGTATTTTGTTCTGGGATCAGTTATCCAAATGTGGAAATCACCTGAAATACTCGTGGTTAAAGTTCTCAAAACCTTGGAGCTCTTGAATGATTGGATCATCATCCATTTTCAGGAGAAAAGAACATTGTGCACAAACAAAAGGGAAAGAATTTAAGTCTATGTTAAGTCCTCTTTAGATACAAAAAGGTCACTAACTCCGTGAGTAGCACCACTGTGCATTAATGAAGCCTTCAGGGTGCAGAAACAAAAGACTGCTCCCATTCAGCTGCAATGCAATTGTTTTTCTCTGCTAGTAACAGCATACTCCCTCTTTCTGTTTGGCATCTATTCTCAAGAAAATAAAAAGCCAGATAATGAAGAGAACCATTAAAGAGCCATTGATTGCTAACCTTCTTATCACATTCGCAATTATTTATTTTTAAAAAAAATAGATGATAGAATATAAATATAAAAGAACACATTAAGTGAGAGCCACCCTGCTGATGGACCAACAAACATTCAGACACAAATATGGACAAAGGCTGCTAGATCGAACGTTATTAGACAAACAGAATGAAAGCTGGAAATCAACAGTGAAAATGCTACCTACTTACCAAATCCCACTGGTGTCCAACTAAGTGCTTCCTCCCCTCGTACAAACAAATAGGATGAGCTACCTGCAAGCCACATGCCTCCTAGACCATGTCTTCGTAGAAGGAATATAGCACTACAGAGAGAGCACCCTGTAGTCATGGCTGCTAGAGCTATGCTCCCCTAAAAGGGGAATTATGGCCAAAGGTAGGTCAGAATCCCCATGCAAGCTGGTGACCTATATATCCCCAGTATTCAAAAGTACATGGATCACACCAAACTCTTCTGCTGCAACAATGTCTCGGGGCCCAAGCCCACCAGGCCAGACAACATTCTTCCATGTCCCTATGTTACCAAACTTCCAAAAGAGACCACATTTTTATATATGGCTGCATTCATTCTACAAAAAATAACAGAGGGGGCTAAGTGGTTTCATCCTACACTCTGGGTGATTGTCATTTCTAGCTGTGGCTTCAGTCAGGCAAGTACTTAAAAAACCACATTTCAAAACAGGACAGAACTTTTGTCTACACCGTTTCATAAAAGACACCCAATATAAGAGGTGGACACTCCTCCCTGGATACTGGGCCTGTGTCCTTTTTAGAATCCCCACCATCAGTCCTCAGGTCCTATGGGGTTTCTCACTGATAGTTCCTCTGTCTGCAGCACATGTCAACTGTCAGGTCTGGGGTGCAACTGTGGCCCTCAGATAAATCTATCTGATGCTGATGCACTCAAGTCTTCCCCCTCCCAGATAGTGTATGTAAACCTGCCCGAGAACAATTAATTCCATCAGCCAACATTCTAGATTGATCTTTTAGTTAGCAGTAAGGTAAATGTGTTTGGCTGCTCTGGTGAGGAAAAGGGCTACTTCCAGAACTACCACAAGTTATTTTTCTTCCAATACCCCTCAGCGGGGCTAGGATGGCAGCTTTATGGCTTTTTAACTAATAGCATTATCCTTAGCCATGACCTAACACATACCTTGTGCCTCTGCTGGTAATAAACTGAAAGCCTAGAACAACTGTCCTCTCTGAAGAACACTGGTCACTACTCAGAGGTAGGAATCAGAGCCATCATTCAATCCAATCTTAGGGTACGTCTAGACTACCGCGTTTTGTCGACGGAAGTTTTGTCGACAGATACTGTCGACAAAACTTCCGTCGACAATTTGCGTCCAGACACATGGAGTTCTGTCGACAAAGCAAGCCGCTTTGTCGACAGAACTCCGTAGTCTGGACGCAGTGTTACAGGCAATAACACCTTCTGTCGACAGAGTTCTGTCGACAGAAAGTGTTATGCCTCGTAAAATGAGGTATACCAGCGTCGACAAAACCGCGGAGTTCTGTCGACGTTATGTCGACAGAACTCCGCGGTAGTGTAGACGCTGGTATTGTTTTGTCGACAAAAGTCCACTTTTGTCGACAAAACTAGGTAGTCTAGACACACCCTTAGACAGAGAAGGGCTGGTCCTCACTGATTTAGTAATCCTCACCTTGGATTACTAAACATAGCCAGTGGATCTCCACTTGGGCTTGCTTCTCTTTTGTGATTTGCTGTCAGAACTGCTGTTATTGAGTTACAGTTGCTGTTGCCCATCATTTGTGATCTCTTCCATTGCTCCCTCATTTTATCTCTTTTGCAGATGAGGTTCAAAAGAAAACTTCCATGCAATACCTTATGCAGGATGCACTAGAGGTCAGCAATAAGACACATCTTTTGGGGAGAAAAGGCAAGGCATTTACGACAGAAAGTTTTCAGCTTTGGAGCTTGATCCCTTCAGCAGTCCAAGGCCAGAATATGTGAATATTTAACAAGTAGTTCAAATAGCACCTTTTCAGACTGGAATTTCAGCTGATAGGAAATGTATGGTCAGTTCTGGAAAAGGGAGGAAAGTGACTTACAAATTAGGTTCTTTTGTTGGATAGAGGAGCTGAGAAGCAAACAGATGTTTAGCTGTGATGTCTTCTTTGGCCATTGATGATATGAATTTTTATGTTTCTTAACCCACACACTTGCTGGTGGTGTACTGTCCCAGGTAGTGGCACTTTGACCACTTACAGAGAAATAATAATGAATCTACTCAAGAGCCTTAGCTGAGAGCCAGCTGGCTTTTAGCTCAAGCAGTAGAGGCTCATAAGAACGGCTATCCTGGGTCAGACCAAATATCCATCTATCCCAGCAACCTGTCTTCCAACAGTGGCCAATGCCAGATGCCCCAGAGGGAGTGAACAAAACAGGTAATCAAGTGATCCCTCTCCTGTCACCCATCCCTAGTCTCTGACAAACAGAGGCTAGGAACACCATTCCTATACATCCTGGCTAATAGCTGTTGATGGACCTAATCTCCATGAATTTATCCGGTTCTTTTTTTTGAACCCTGTAAAAGTCCTGACTTCAAAGCATCCTCTAGCAAGGAGTTCCATAGGTTGATTTGTACACTGCATGAAGCAAAGCTTCCTTTGTTTGTTTTAAATCTGCTACCTATTAATTTCATTTTGGTGGCCCCTAATTCTTTTGTTATGGGAACAAGTAAGTAACTTTTCCTTATTTACTTTCTCCATACCAGTCATGATTTTATAGCCCTCTATCATATCCCCCACTTGGTCTCCGCTTTTCTAAGCTGAAAAGTCCCAGTCTTTTTAAAATCACCCATTCCAAACTCTTAATCATTTTTGTTGCTGAACCTTTTCCAATGCCAATATATCTTTTTTTGACAAGAGGCTGTATACAGTATTCAAGATGTGGGTGTACCATGCATGTATAAAGAGACAATAAGATATTCTCTGTCTAATTCACTATCCCTTTTTTAATTATTCCTAACATTCTGTTTGCTCCTTTGATTAATGCTGCACATAGAGTAGATGTTTTCAGAGAACTATCCACAGTGATGCCAAGATCTCTCGCTATAGTGGTGCACTAAGCTCCAAATGTCCCAGGTTTGGTTCTGCCTATCGATGTTACATTTCCACCAAAATAATAACATAACATGGATATAGCCAGTAAGATACAAACATTTTCCAAACATTCACTTCAGTTAGGTGCCTAAAGTACCAATGCAAAAAAAAAGTGTTTTTCACTCAGAATTTAATTCAAATAAGTGAAAAAACATAAATCATATACTGCCAAACATATCTCACTTTCAGAAACATGCATGTGTATAAAAGGGGAGAGCAGGGTTTCTTTCTTTGCTTTTTTTTCTTTTTAAAAAGGATAATAGTAAATCCCTGCACACATTCTCTGTTACACCACTTTCCATTTAGTCCAAGAGAATGGTGGGAGATGGATATCAAGGAGCCTATTGTGATTCTCTGCCCAGCTCCTTCCCTGATTCAGGTTGCATAGCTGGCAATAGTCCCCAAGGGATCATATGACAGTGGTATGTTGCTGGAATGCAACATACTCCTGCTATGTCTTCTTTGAATCTTTCTCCTGGTAGGGAAGGTCTCATATTGCTTGCATCCACCTATATTCTGCCAGAATAGCATAAACAGGACAGAGAAGAGGAGAAAGTCAGACCCAAAGGGCTGATCCTATGTGTTATGGAAGAGGCTGTCTGTAGGAAAGAATGTGATCTTGTTCAAATTCTTTCAAATACATCAGATTTCAGAGATGCACAATCTCAGTTATGGTCTCTTACCAGCAGGAGAAGAAATGGGTTCACAAAGTTGGACTGATTTAAATGATCAAGACATATGGCCCCCAAATTTGCCCTACTTTCAGACTGACTCATTCAGATACTAAATATATAGGTTCTTGTTTTCAATTTAGTAGTCCATTGCAGAGATATTAAGGGAAGCAATAGCCACTAGTTTTTTTAGATTCTATGGAATATGCTCTGTGCTGGCTCTTCAGCAGCAGTAACCCAGCGAGCTTAATTCAAACTGTTTCTAGAATGGTGCGGATACTGATATCACTGATGCAAAAACAAAACAATAGGTTGAGAGTGACAGGAATCCATAGAGAATAAAGTTGTTTAAAAAGCCCTAATTATTTCAGCTCCATTTTAAAGCTACAGTGGGGGGACAGGGGAACTAGTATTTGCAAAATGGACCAGGATGAAATTCAGGGATCTAAGAGAACTGCAAACAAAAGAGAGGAGTAAAAGAGAAAAAAAAGGTGATTATAAAACTTATCTTGATAGAATTCTTTGAAATGTTACAGTCCTAAAATGAAAATGCATATTGTGGACACAGTCAGTTTCCTACCTGAGGTATGATTGAAATTTTCTTCCGCAAGTCATGAAGTCCCAGTTCGGATGTTAAGTATTTATCAATCCAAATTCGCCCTTTCGGTTCTGCTAATCGAAAGAGGGCTGCTATCAAAGAGCTCTTTCCAGCTCCTGTTCTTCCTACAATTCCAACCTGAAAAAACAACCAAACCAGGATGGTTAACACCAGTAGCTTCCCACGTAGTATCTGTACCACTCTTCCATTAATGTAAAATGAGATTTATTAAAAGGCAAGGCAACAGTTTAATTCCTTATACTGCATCTTTTTTTTAAAGGTAAACACTAAGAAGAACAACACCCTGAAGTTAGGTAGGTTTGAAGCTTCAAGAATTTTCTATACCATCTCATTAAAAGGTGAAATTAATGTTTTCTTTAAACAAAAAGCCTTCCTTAATATGAATGCCTAAATGAGAGACAATGTGGCCTAGTGAATAGAGCACCAGACTGGAACTTAGGAGTCCTGCGTTCCATTTCCAGCTCTGCCATTACCCTGTTGGTGACCTTGCACTACTCATGTCACTTCCCTGTGCCTCAAGTTCTCCATCTGTAAGAAGGGGGCAATGATGCTAACACTTCTTTGTAAAACACTTTGAGATCTGCCTATGGACATTACTAGTATTAAACAAGCTTTGCTAACAGCACTTGAGATAATTTTGAGTGAGATTCTCATGATCTTACTCAAGCTGAATAGTATCTATCTCAATGAGGAGCCCTACTAATGTCCAAACCAGTGTTTCTTAAACTTTTTAAGACCACGGAACACAAAACAATACTATTTTTTTGTGCGGAACACCTATGAAAATTTTCTTTAAAAAACTGTTGTCAGACAAAAACAAGACAAAAACAAAGAAGTAACAAAAAAGAAAGAAGAGGTCACAGCACACCTGTGAGTTGTTCACGGAACACCAGTGTTCTACAGAACATAGTTTAAGAAACACTGGTCCAAATTAACAACTGGGCTACCAAAAGTATCTGAGCAAAAGGCATGGAGAGATGGTCAGTGTTCTCTCTAAGCTGCATGGCAGCACTGCTTCACAGGTGATTAATCCACTTCCTAAACAGTCAGTCAGCTCCAGGCATGGAGCCCTGAGCCTCTGATTGGGTGGGGCTGATTAGTTACCTGTGAAGCTGTGCTGCCACACAGCTTAGTGGGAACACTGGAGATGGTCCTATGTTTGCCATAAAGGAGCTGCAGTAAAGAGGAAACTATGGTTGGCTGGGGCAATGAATTCCTTTTACAACTTAGCTTTGAAAGTCCAGATCACTGAAAGGGACTTCACAGAGATGCTGCTTTTCTCAAAGCTCAGAACACCAGAGCCACACATCTCACAAGCAAGGATCTGCAGAGGTCATTCATTCACAATAGGTGGAAAGAGACTAAACAACCCTAGATGATATTATAAAGCACAACACAGTCTAAAATTCCTCTCAGAAAAGAAGAATGCATAAAAAGAATATCCATCAATATGGATATTCACAAGGAGTTGCTCAAAGACCAGAGGATTAAAAATCAGTACTAGCAACAGCAACCACATGGAGAAGCAGTCCAACTAATACATTCGGTCAGTAAGGCTTTCATGGTAATGACAAGGCAGTAAAAATGCAAAATAAGGGAATGCTAACAAAACTTTTACAAATATATCAAATGAAAAAAGTACTTGGAGACAGTCGGTCTATTAATAAATGAAGCAAAGAACAAAATTAATGTTGACTAAATATGAGTCAGTGAACTCCTTTTTGCAAAAAATCTGTCTTCAACAAGAAGCAGGTAAAGGATTACTTATCAAAACAGAATGTACCCCCAAACAACGGTCTGACATGGTACAGCTTGGGGGTAACTCTCTATATAGATGTGCTCTGGGAAAACCTGTTACAGTAGAAACTTAGAGTCACAAACACCAGAAATACAAACTGATCACTCAACACACAAAAGTATGCAATCAGGCAGCAGAGACCAACCCATTCACCAGTAAATAATGTACAATATAGTACTGTGTTAAATATAAACTATCAAAAAAGGGACAGTCTAACACAAGATTTGACAAGGCAAGGAAACTGTTTCTGCGCTTGTTTCATTTAAATTAAGATAGTTAAAAGCAACATTTTTCTTCCTCATAAAGTTAAAGTAAAGTTTCAAAGCTATACTTAGTCAATGTTCAGTGGTAAACTTTTGAATAACCAAAGTTACAAACACTTCAGAGTTACGAACAACCTCCAGACTCAGGGGGTGCGTCTAGACTACATGGCTCCGTTGACGGAGCCATGTAAAGTAGTTTACTCGACATAGTCAAAGAAGCGGGGATTTAAATAATCCCCGCTTCATTAAAATAAAAATGGCCTCCACGCTGTGCCAACAATCAGCTGATCCGGCACAGCGTGGCAGTCTAGACGCGGCGCGGTCGACAAAGGAAGTCTTTGCCGACCGCTCCGATATGCCTCGTGAAACACCTCTAGACTGCCCGCACAGCGCAGAAGCCATTTTTATTTTAATGAAGCAGGGATTATTTAAATCCCCGCTTCTTTGACTATGTCGAGTAAACTACTTTACATGGCTCCATTGATGGAGCCATGTAGTCTAGATGCACCCAGGGTGTTCATAACTCAGAGGTTCTATCCTATATATTACATTCAATTCTAGGTACCACATTTCCAGAGGGATATTGGCAAACACTGGAGGGGCTTCAGCGACGAGCAATAAAAATTACCATGGACTGAAGATATTGTTTTATGAAGAAAGATAAAATGATTAAATATGTACAACAGTGGTTCTCAACCAGTGGTACAAATATACTTGGAGATATGCAGAGGTATTCCAGGGATACATCAACTCATTTAGATGTTTGCCTAGTTTTATATCAGGCTACATAACAAGCATTAGTGAAGTCAGTACAAACTAAAATTTCACACACTTATTTGTTAATACTGTTCTATGTACATTATACACTGAAATGTAAGTACAATATTTGCATTCCAATTGATTTATATTTAATTATATATTAAAAATGAGAAGGTAAGCAATATTTCAATATTGTGCTGTGACATTTCTACATTTTTCAGTCTAATTCTGTAAGCAAGCAGTTTTTAAGTGAGGTGAAACCTGGGGTATACGCCAAACAAATCAGACTTCTGAAAGAAGTACTTGGAATATTTGCAAGAGCCGTGATTTCATCGATGCAGATAGTCTCGCCACTGATGCAGATCATAACTTTTCCACACCATCCTATTTTGCACAGTACCGTATTTTCCGGCGTATAAGACGACTTTTGATGCTAAAAAACATCCCCCAAAAATCGGGGGTCGTCTTATACGCCGGGTATACAGGCGGCGGGGCAGCCCAGCCCAGGTGCGCCTGGGCTGCCCCGCCGCCTGTATACCCGGCGTATAAGACGACTTTTGATGCTAAAAAACATCCCCCAAAAATCGGGGGTCGTCTTATACGCCGGGTATACAGGCGGCGGGGCAGCCCAGCCCAGGTGCGCCTGGGCTGCCCCGCCGCCTGTATACCCGGCGTATAAGACGACTTTTGATGCTAAAAAACATCCCCCAAAAATCGGGGGTCGTCTTATACGCCGGGTATACAGGCGGCGGGGCAGCCCAGCCCAGGTGCGCCTGGGCTGCCCCGCCGCCTGTATACCCGGCGTATAAGACGACTTTTGATGCTAAAAAACATCCCCCAAAAATCGGGGGTCGTCTTATACGCCGGGTATACAGGCGGCGGGGCAGCCCAGCCCAGGTGCGCCTGGGCTGCCCCGCCGCCTGTATACCCGGCGTATAAGACGACTTTTGATGCTAAAAAACATCCCCCAAAAATCGGGGGTCGTCTTATACGCCCAGTAGCCTTATACGCCAGAAAATACGGTACTCATCCATGTCCTTCCATGAATCTTCCATAAAGGAGCCACCCATTAAAATTCTACTCTGTTGCCTCATTGTGGCATGGAGGTAAACCCGGTCTCTCGAAGGCTATGCCAGCGAAGCGTAAGCTCCAGCAGCTTCTACCAAGTTGGAAAGGTTTCATAGAATCATAGGACTGGAAGGGACCTCAAGAGGTCATCGAGTCCAGCCCCCCGTTTCAAGTATAGCCCTGGCGGCAGACTGTGTGTCCATACCGTCCAAGGACCAGCCTAGCAAAATACAGAGAGGTTCATCACCAGAGGGCTGGTCATCAGGTGACGATTTGGCCACAGCAGCTATGAATACTACGAAAGGGGTCCAGTAGTCTAAACAGGTTGAGAACCACTGATGTACAGTACAGCAAGTGAAGAAAAGGACACATGACAGAAGAATATTTGAAAAGTACAAACATCAAACAAAAAAGAGCAATTACACATAGAGATATTAGAATGATATTAAGAGAAGGAAAAAGGGGAATTCTAGGAAAAAATGTCTAAAAAGACCTATGGAACAAGTCCCAAGCAAAGTAACAGAACCTATATTAAAAAAATTACACCCAGATCCAGCACAAGAAAATGTACTGGAAGAAGGACTGGATAATCTAAAAGGTTTTTTTCCACCTCTAAATTTTCCAATTCTATTATTTTATTGAATAATTTTTTCATGTAGGTTAGTTCAAACACTAAGTACTATGTAAATGCTAATAATTATTTTGCTGTTACCAAAAATACAGCATCGTTTTAGCAAATTTGTTTAAAGGCATGGTATAAAAGTAAAAGGAAAAAATAATTGAAATGATCAGATTTATTCCTGAAGAAATTCTACTAAAATTTTTCTTCCTTCAAAAAGATAAATCAAAGAAAAAGCTGAATAGGGAATACACATAAAAAGTGTTTTAAAAATGAACTCAAAAGCATTTCTTTTGAAAACCTTAGTGATATACAACATTGAATTAACAACATCAAGGAAAACATTATCAAAATATAGAGTAACCCTTAAAATAAAAATGCAGCAGTTTAAATGTTGTCAACATCTCTCTTTCAAGCAGGCATTGAATGAAAGCACTGCATTTTTCAGTGTTTGACCAAAAATACAAATGGATTTCTCTAAATTGACTACAGGCTACTAAAATTAACATGAATGTGAATAGGCTGTCAGTAAACAGAGTTTTATTCTCTTGTATAAATCATGTTATTCAAAAGGCACATTATTTTTCCATATACAGATCATACTCAAATG